AAGTTGGCCAAACTTACTGCTTCACTCTGCGGCCATTATGCGGTCCGCAGAGTGATTATGCGGACGCATAATGGGCAGCAAAAATGCGTTCTTCTGCGAAATATTTTCCTCTCAGTCCGTATGGTACTGTTTAATCCAAAAAAGTCCGAACCACGCAGAAATCTAACTTGGCACCATAAAACCCCAAGTTTTTAATTTAAATTTTTACGGGTCCTTACAGAAAGATTACTTAATCATCAATTTTTGTATATCAAATAAGAACCTTCTATAATATTTAACAGATACATGGTTACACTGACAACATATAGTACTACTCACTATAAAACTAAATTTCTACTAAACTTATGTATTTCTGTAAACTAAGTTACTAGAATAACTTTTCTATTATATAAAAAAGATAAGTTGGTCGACCAAGGGTAGTTTCGAAATTCCGCATATATTGAGGGATAAATTGGTAATTCTGCCACTTAAGCCATAGATACATCTTTGCATACCGTAGCTATCAATGTCTCTCTCTTTAAGAAGCACTCCCTCAGTTTCTCTCTTCATAAGCAAACATACTTCTTCATCATAAGGTACTTCTTTTCTTTTTTCAATGATTGTTGTGTTTTTGTCTGCTTCGTATTCTCTATCTCTGTTTCACAAGCCATATATGTAGGTCATAGTTTCCCAAGTACTCCCCCTCCCCCCACCAATTTCGGTTTTTTTTTGAACAACTGAAAAAGGATCTTTCTGATGAGGAGTATAAAACTTCACAAACAAACTTGAATTACAGATTCCCTGCTACAACAATTTGCGGAATAGCCGCCCCAATATTTTTTAATTATTTGTATACCTATCCCAATCAGATAGTAAGAAAGGGCAACAATGCAGACGAAGAAGATAAATTTGTCAGAAATTGAGTATACTAAATGAGCTAATCTTCCCTATATCGTGACAAGGAAACAACAAATATTGAAGTAGGCTATGCACATATGGTATTTGATGATATGCCTTATCCATCTAATGTTGTTGTGCGCTTACTAATTCCTAAGAGCATTTGCTTTCACTATTTTGTTTCTTTTTTGATGTTGTTATTTATTTATACTTTTTATACATCGAATCTAAAAAATGTTGCACTTTTTATCGAAACAGTTTGGTCATTTGTTCACATAAACGTAACAAAATTGAAAAAGAGGAAGTATAAAATAGGAGTATCGGAGAGAGGTAAGTGACATAAAGATACTCTTTCAAAGTCGGGATGAACCTTTAAAATAATTCTTTGTACTTGAAAGCAAAAAGGGTACAATAATTTATTTTTACAGTGTTGCCGTTTAGTAATTCTGATGGTGTGCGAATGTGAAATCTTTTCAAAATTCTGTTGTTAGATTGTGATGGTCCTATTGAAGTTTAGGTACATAGTATATTCAACAGTCTCCTCTTACACAACAAGATATTCTAAGAAGAAATGTTAAGAAAAACAAAGGTCATGTCTTTGGCCACCCTTTCTTTAGTTCATCATCAAGACAAAGCCAAGTTGGTTGCATATTTAAATGAAATGAAAGAAGTGAAAGTTAGGATGCTTGTAGTGTTAAATTATGATGCTTAAGGTTAAGGTAATGGACCAACATTTTAGGATATTCATATGGAGAACATTAATCTGTCTTTGATGATTTTGTGATACTTTCATCTAGAAGGCACTATGCATGGTGAGCTTGATATTTTTTTTTGTATTAAAAAAAGGGACTCAGTCCTATTCTTTATAGGATGTTGTATACCTTTTCAACGCCAGGTACTCTATAATTGCAGTGTGTCATGGATTGTAGAGTCTTTTCTTCCTAATCTTCTTTGTAGGTGTTTTCTTTTAATATAATATGTGTTTTCTAAGTGAACTTCTCTAAATGAAACATATCTAATACCAATGCCTATGCACTTAGCATTACTCAAACACACTGAATGATGTTTTTTCTCCTTTCCTTCTTGTGTAGCACTTACATTGTAGGTAGTATTATTGTCTATATTTCAACCTATGCAGATACATGTATGTAGTATTATTTCCTATATCGACCAGTCTCTTTATTAACTTATTCATCTGACTACCCAACTTTGTTCTGGCAAACTAATTAATTTTTCATGTTTATGTGTGGTTCTTGCCTTGGTCATAAACATAAATATGAACAATCTGACCATACTTTTTCTTTTGTTGAGAAAGAATACTTTATCATCAATAGTTGTTTATGAAATAAGAACCCTCTATAATATTTATCAGAGACATAGTTGCACTAATAACATGTAGTACTACTCACTATAAAACTATTTATGTGCAGCTCTTGCCTTGGTCGTGAACAGAAGTATGAACAATCTGACCATACTTTTTCTTTTGTTGAGAAAGATTACTTAATCATCAATTTTTGTATATCAAATAAGAACCTTCTATAATATTTAACAGATACATGGTTACACTGACAACATATAGTACTACTCACTATAAAACTAAATTTCTACTAAACTTATGTATTTCTGTAAACTAAGTTACTGGAATAACTGGTGAAGACATATTTCGTGCATTGCTGATAAAATGTTGCATATTGTATGTAATTCCTCTTCCTACAACAGAACTTTACAGAATGATCCGGAAAAAGGATAATAATGGCAACTATTCTGTCAGCTGTTAACATTAAGCCTTCCTTTCACACAACTGGCAATTGAACTTATATGAAAATGTATATAGGCTCTGTACCTCTAGCCCTCCTCTCCATAGTCATTAGTTTTGTTTGAACAACTTTGCACAATGGTTATCTGACAAAAGAGGTTACACCTTATGTAATACATATTAACTTTGCTCCAGTAACTAAGAAGACATGAGTTTTTCTTAGCATTGTCTCATAGCTACTTAACTATGTAAGTGTTCTATCTATGTTCGAAGTTGAATTGGATCATGCATGGTGATCTAAGAGGCGCTATCAGCAGTTGTTTAAGAAGGAAGATAGGAACACAAGACCGCTTTTGACACAGTACCTGCTTGTATACTATGGACTAGATGAAACGAAAGTAACTACCATTGTTTTAATTTGTGATATACACACAAAAAGACAAGTGTATGCACCTGTTAGCTTTTGGACTAACTTGCAAAATGTATATAATTTAATGTATACTACTTGGTGTTAATTAATAAAGTTGATCACTTATCTAGGATTCTGTTATTGAAGCGTTGGCCGTTGGGCCGGTGCTCTGCACGGGCAGCAACCGTCTAGTACAAATATACAAATCAAAATCATTGTTCCCCTTGAAAGGATCAATAAGCTAATTAATTAAAGAGCCATTCACAGACATAAAATAGCGAAATTCATTACTTTACATGTGGAATTGAGTCAGCAAATAGATGTAGGCCACAAATTGGCTTCCGTTCCATACACTAACACGTACCCAACCTGCTGGAACTTGCACATTCTATTAATTTTCTGAGAGGCAGAGTTGTTAATAAGTTTCTTCTAATATTTATTTTTTTGACAGTATAGCACAATCTGATTAGTATATATTCTTGAGATATCCAATCTTAGCTAAGGTTTCGTCAATTATTTTCAATTTTAATGTTGAAAAAATACTTTTAACTGACAATTGGCTCATTAAAACATTCATTTGCGTTTCGAAGTACGTAATTACAAGTTTACAACCATGTGTGTGGTTTGTGTTATAAGGACATTAAACGCATCAACTAATTACAATTATTGGAGCATGCTGCGATCTAATTTGCTTAAAGCGTGAGTCTTTAGAAGTCTTGAAAGAAGAAATCACATAAAGACAGAATTGTAATAAAAATGATTCAGAACATGCTGCGACTAGTTTTACTGATGTATACGGTCGAAATAGATTTCGGCCTTGGCACGTCCGATCGAGTTCGAACGATGATCTATCGAAGTAAGATCCTGAAGGTGGAACAAACTAACCTCGAACCCGGGGAGGCCGATCCGTGTCGAGTTCGATATCATTATCAAGCTCGAATCGAAATAGAATCATGAGGCAGAGTAGATCTATTATGCTGATAATCCATAGACCAACCAACATTGATCTCGAATCAATTCGAGGGCTCGAGTCAGGATCGGGCTCGAACCAAGATCAAGAGCTCGAGTCGAAATCAAGCTCAAACCAAAATCGAGGGTTCTAAGCAATATCGAGCTCGCAGACAAAAGCCGTTGCAATCCCACTAGAGAGAATCTTGGCAGAAATTGTGAAAAAACTGACTTATCATGGGTCTCCCACTGAATGTTTATTTTATTATGCTTAGAGCCAAATCCCTCTACTATAAAAGGGTTTGGTTACCATTTCTATAGAACAAGGTTTTCAGGCTTACATTGTAATAAAAGCGTTATATTCTTCTACAGTAAAGAATCGTTCTTTCAGATTTCTTAGATTGATTCTCTTTGTTGAATCTTAAGATTCATTGTTCCTGACAACCTTATCTATTTCGCATTCTCTGCAATCTATATTTACATTTTTATTTATCCTTACATTTTGTGTTAAGTTACGCCACATATCCTCGGAACTATGTATAAATTCAACTCTATCCATTTTTCGGGTAAACAGTTTGGCGCCTACCGTGGGGCCGAGGATAACAGTAGTTATTTGATACAAATCTGAAAAAACACGCCATTGTGCTTTGCGCTTATTTCCGAAAACATCTTGAATTTCGGATCAGCTACGAATAACCACCAATCAAATGGCTTCACCGATCGATAACGAAGCCGGCCTTCAAGATGAAACCAACAACTTGGCACTCGGGGCCGGAAGGCCAATTAACGATGGCACCGAGGCTCGAATCGAAGTACCCGAAATTCGGGCCGAAATACCATTGGATGTCAATTTACAAATAGCTTTGGAGGCGAATCATCGTTCCGAACCGGAAAGAAGCATTCAGGGCGGTACTCGATCCGTAGCCCGAGACATCCAAAATGCGGGAGAAATCGGGGCCAGCTTACGTATGATCTTCGA